GTGGAATCTTCTTGGAACTGTTGAAAAAAGGTTAGACACCCATTTGTATTATTCAGGTGACCTTGATAGCACAGATAAATCTCCAAGTAGCCTCAATGACTCTCAAAGAGAGTGCTAGTGACCGGATGACTTCAGGGAATATAAATCCTTCCATTCTCCAGCATTCAGGCAGAACTAAAGAAACTTCTTGGATGAGAAGTGGAATGACTTGAAAGAAAAACAAAGAAAGCCCAGTTGCTTTTTGAAAAAGCATCTTTGGGACAACAATGACCTGGATCACTGGTGGGATTCAAATTTCTTTACTACTGGTTCTATGGGCGTGGCTTGGTGGGTATGGCATGTCTTGGTGGGTGTGGCTTGGTGGGTACGGCAGGGGAAGGTTACTGCAAAATCCCTATTTCCTCCTAATCAATTGGGAGTCAGGAGGCAGAGAATAGATGGTGGTGAGGCCAGTCAGAGGTGGTATTTACCAGTTCTCTGAACTACTCATAATTTCTGCTACCGGTTCTCCAGAATTGGTCAGAACCTGCTGAATACCACCTCTGACCTGGATGACTGAGAATCTCTATAGACTCTTAGAAGTAGGTGCAACATTTCATTCAGGCTGTCACAGAAGAACATCCCATAGCAAAAAATCTGCATCAATANATATGGGTGGGTTATTTATACCTCCCAGAATTAAATATATTCAGTATTCATGTATTCTTCCATGCTGGCACAGTTTTCATGTCACCTCATTTATTAGGACCAAACTTGAGGAGGCCAAGAGCTGGGCTTTCCCTCTCCATAAGCAGAGGAGATATATGAAGGCTTCGGTGGGGCAACTGCATGAGATCTGGTTTACATGTAGCATTAAAGCAAGATTCTAAATAAACTATGGTGATGTGCTTTTTAAATAACACCAAATCAAATCAGATGAACTCATCTATTGCATTAAACTGCAATATAGCATGTGAACGAGACCCCTTTATCAATATTACAATCCAGTCCTATGTACATGTCCTCAAAATTCAGTCCTAATGCATTTAATAATATATATTGAATTATACACAGGTTTGCAGCTGTATTCATTCAAATCATATTCTAAACCATTTTTTAACTGAAATCATATACATATCTATCACATCAACCTTCCCAGCAGCACAGCATCCTTCCTTAATAATAATGAAAAGGATGCCTGAAAATACCTGGGAATGGAAAATGCAAGTTAGCATTCCAATCCCAATTTTTTAATTGAACACCAAAAAAAACAATGCTAACTCCATAGGCCTTTGCTTATTCAAATTAATATGCCCCATGAACCTATGCCCTGGAATTACAACCAAAATCTTCTATTTACTCTCCTCCTTCCTGCCTTGTGAAATGATTCACATGCTCTAAATATTTTCATTTCATTAACTAAGCTTCCAGATCTGTGCATCAAAAAAAAATCCCTAGGGAAAGATTCTTCATAAACCCTCAGCAAAACCTTCCAAACTCTGGTTAGCAAATCTGGTTTACAATTAGCAAAAACAATACTGCCTCACATCTGAAAACGCATACCGGTACTTTGCACAGCACGGCTGATATAAAATTAGAAAAGAATAAATCTATGGATCTCCAGCCTCCATCTAAGCACTGGATTTTTCAGGCTATTTACAAACCACCCAGAGTCACTTAGGTGAAACGGGCAATGTAGAAATTCAATCAATAAATAGCATTTACAAAGATCTGATCGATAAATAATTTTTACAAACATTCCCACAGGGCTGGAAGTTAAAGTGTGTTCTTTAGTCATTTGCTGCTGTAAAGACCACCAATCTCTCTGCTTACAATTGATGGCCAAAGAACCTGGGTCAGTCTCCAGACCCCCATGATCTGATACAGTCATGCTATATAACAGTGTTGACGAAACTTTTCAGCACTGAGTGCTGAAATGGGGGCGCGTGCATGCGTGCAGAAACCCGAAGAGCAGCAATCGCCTGATGCGCATGAGCACGCCAGGAAGATAATCTTCCAGTTTCCGGTACATACATGTGCACCAGCCACCTGGTCTTCCAGTTTCT